TGAACTAGTAGCTTTAGCTTTTATCCTAGGTTTATTTTTCTTTTATCTTCTCGCTTATCTATTTGCTGTTCCCTATATTCTATTTCTTAATCACTTCTCCTCTATCAGTCTTTCAATTACTTAATAAAGTGTTTGGTTACGATTAAAATAGCTGCTTGTACCTCAATTTATCTGTGTTTATGCTACTGAATGAATGCTTATGTTTTCTGGGGTTCCTACGTTTTTATGTGGGCTGGCCGCCGGGTGGTGTGGCGGAAGGGGGAGTGACGGTATGAGTGCAATTGTGATCGGACACTTTAATTGAAGCTTTTGCATTTCGTTTATTTAGAAGAATTCGCTCCACTTCTGTCATTTAAATATTAGTTCCTGACAGCAAAATCATGAAAGCAGCATAGCCATTAGTCCATTCATGGCGGGCGCACTTACGTTTCTTGACAAAGTTCAAACGACAAGAATGCATATGATTTACTTAGATAGCAAGTAACGAGAGCAATTTTCTCCATAAACGAAATTTTACAGTCAAATACTCACAGAGGACAATAATTACTTCACTTGTTTTTGAGTTTTTTTTTCATATTAAAAAAGTATAGAGTACTGCCTCGCCAATTAGCAAGAGCCCTTTTTCATAAATTCCTTGTTATGTCTTGATATTCTTATACCTAATTGACCTGATTAATCTGGCAAAAAGTTCCCTCATTTAACTCTAAAAACACTTTCTTCACGCTGCTGCACCTCCTCTTGAGAATATTTTCTCTAACGAGTCTTTTCTTGACGAGTGAATATGTTTTTCTGAAATCTTAAAGTACTTTATATTCCACAAGTTGAAGTTGGCAGGTAAAAAAATAGACACCTTACGAGGAAAGCTAGATCACTCTCTATATAAGGGTAGTTACCCTTATCTCACAGATATTGCCTTCGCCATTCTGGTACGCTGAATGCTTTGAGAATGTACCAGATACTGAGTTTTGTTCATCATCTAGTGTGACTAAGCTCTTGTGGGTCTTAGCAGATACTGCATTCAGGAAATCTGAGATGCAACTGTTCTATAAAGGGAGATATGTTGACTTCGTCTGCTGCTTTATGCAAAGCTACGCACGATGTGTCTGTGTTGGTACCTTCTAAACAAAAAGGAAAAGTTTTTTCAAGGGACTTGTGGATTAAATCTCGTACAAGGAGGCCTTTGGGAAGCATATTTGGATCCTGGATAGTGGAGAGATCTATTCCTATCCGTCTGTTCATTCCAGCTCGTGCTAGTGGTATTACTTATGTTATACTATGATTTCTTTTGTGGATGAGTTATAATCGTGTATAATCTCTCTGATTTATGCAATTATTGTGTTTAGATATTAAATGCTTCGAGTGATTTGGCAGATGGGAATGGTACTGCGAAATGCTTGAACAGCAATTCTTCCATCCTAAAGCAGGCCTTGATTGGTTTTATAGACGAGGATAGTTTTTTCAAAGATGAAATTGATACAGCTTCAGATTGTGGCAAAAGTTTTTCAACCGAAGGTCAGACCGTTGAGGAGCCATGGCTAAGTGAATCTTCCTCGCTTCTTCATCATTTGGCAGAGTCAGATGCTCCTGTTGATTTCATTTGCGATGACAAGATAGTTAAGGGTCTTGACTGTGAAAATTTAGAATCAAGATGCTTAAATCAGTCTACACTTAGTGAGAATTTCTGGTCCAAGTATGAGGTAAATGCTAATGATGCTTCATCAGGAACCTCGTATGAAACATATGCCTATGTGGAGGAGCCCTGGTTACTTCAAGCATGTACCTCTTCCCCTAGTTTTGATGCTGAGACGGCTCCTGACGACTGTAAAGTTGAACAGTCAGATAAAGAGGATGAAGCTCAACCTTCATTTAGCAATCAACTTGAACAATTAGCTCAACCTTCATCTAGCAATCAACATGAACAAATACCTGAGAAGTTGTTGCCTGTTGATCAAAATGATGCAATTTCCAAGGAAGACTCGGTTACAACAATTATTCTGATTAATTCTTCGGTTTGTACTGTGCAAAGAATTGCTGTTTTGGAAAATGAGAAACTGGTAGAACTGTTGCTGGAACCAGTGAAAAATAATGTGCAGTGCGATAGTGTATATCTAGGAGTAGTTACAAAGTTAGTTCCACACATGGGTGGTGCATTTGTAAATATTGGCACGTCCAGACCCTCCTTTATGGATATAAAGCCCTACAGAGAACCATTTATTTTCCTCCCATTTTGTCACGATTCAAGGGAAAAAATAATTAATGGTACTGTGGTTGACATGCTTGAAGAGAATCTTGGTCTTTCTAGAAATGGATCCACTTTAGAAGAAGTGGACACAGATGAGATTGAAGATGCTGATATAGAGGATGATTCCATGGAATACATGGACAATGAGTTTGGGGAGCATGAAAGGGGAGACGCTTGTAATATTTCAGAAGTCCTTGTAGAAAATCGTAATGGTAGTGTAACTGAGCATGGGCTTGAATCTCCTTCAGAGAAATATTTGGAAGAATCCAGTGGAATTGGGTACCAAGGGCAGAATCCAACTATTGAGCATACTGTGAATGGTAATAAAGTTTCACAAAGAGATGAAAGCAAGTGGATCAAGGTCCGGAAAGGCACTAAAATAATTGCACAAGTTGTTAAAGAGGGATTGGGCACGAAGGGCCCGACACTGACTGCTTATCCAAAATTAAGGAGCAGATTCTGGGTATTACATGTTTCATGATTCTGTCTCTCACAGCTGAAAATCCACTTTTAAAGGCCCCAATCTAATTGGTTCTCCTCTTCCCAGGTTTTAGCTCCTCGCGGCAACACGATAGGTATTTCAAAGAAGATCGCTGGTGTTGAGCGCACACGTTTAAGGGTCATTGCAAAAACTTTACAGCCTCAGGGATTTGGTCTAACGGTAAGGACAGTTGCAGCTGGTCATTCATTAAATGAATTGCAGAAGGACTTGGATGGCTTGCTTTCAACTTGGAAAAGTATAATTGAGCATGCAAAGTCTGCAGCTCTTGCCGCAGATGAAGGTGTTGATGGAGCAGTTCCGGTTATGCTTCACCAGGCAATGGGCCAAACACTCTCTGTTGTTCAGGATTATTTTAGCGATCAGGTCAGCTCATTCTTGGTTCATCCCTTCATGGATTGTTCAGTTTATTTTATTTTTTATGGAATTTCTGGTTAGGGCCGGCCTTCCTCAAATTAGCACGAATACATGTTATACTTTCTTATGCTGGCCTTGATGTTCAGGTGAAGAGTTTGGTGGTTGATTCTCCAAGGACATATCATGAGGTATGGACTTAGCCATTTATCAGGAAGTGGAAGTGAAAAGGTTTTTTACCAATAAGGTCACTTGCATGTCTTGCTTGGTATTTAATGTTCCTTTGAGATATGTTTTCATATGTGAGCATGGAAGCGGTTTTTGATAACCATTTCCAATAGTGAGTTTTTTGGCATAAAGACTTTGCAAATACTGGTGGTGAATGATATTATCTTTGATTAATAAGTTAATATAATATTTAAGAAGTAAAACTAGCTTGTTTCAGTTTTTTTTTTTTGTCTTATTTTTTTTAAAATGTAATGAATATTTTACTAAAGAATAGCACCCAGAGATTGGATGAGTAGTACACAATCTGCAATGTGCATCTCACTCAGTACATTAGCTATTTGTTAAAAAACTGAGGAAATTAATTTTCATTTTTACGCAAGGCCATTTGTGCTTTGAGTTACCAATATTTTCCTTTTTGCCCCTCAAAGTATCTCTGATTTGTTTCCTTTTTGTTGCCTTTCTATAGTCCTCTTCTATTACAAAAATGTAGCAGATCTTTAGCCGATTTTGGCATGCACCATTTAGCTTGTTTCAGCATTAGCACTCTGGTTAAATCAAGGCATTCTCTAACTTTGAAGTTTGAAGGTGACAGTCGAAGAAAAAGCGAACTGTACTCAAATATAGCAGTTTATTCAATTTAATATCCGGAAAAAATGGCATGCTGACATATAAAGATAGTGTACATGGTAGATAAACTTTAGATCTGTTGGTTTTTCGTCTTCCTCTTTTCCATCAGGGTGGGGGTTTAAGACAACTTCAGATCATGTTCTCAAACTTAAGATATTTGGATTAGTGTCTTTCTTTTTATTTTGAAGCCTGTGCTAACAATTGTTAAGGATCTGTTGAACTTTGATGTACTCTAATATATGTATATATATAATTGGACTCTGTTCAGGTTACAAACTATCTTCAAGAAATAGCACCTAATCTTTGTGAAAGAGTTGAGTTGTACAGCAAAAGAACTCCCCTGTTTGATGAATACAAGATTGAGGAAGAAATAGACAACATTCTCAGCAAAAGGTGGAAATTACTTATTCTTTTTCCCTAGTACTTTCTTTTAGCTTTACATTCTTTTATGACGTGTATTTTTACCTTTCTGCGAATCAACATTTTCCTGTTAAAATGCTGTTTCTCTTTAATCCTTCAATTTATAAAATTTGCAGGGTTCCCCTTGATAATGGAGGTTATCTAGTGATTGAACAGACAGAAGCTTTAGTCTCCATCGATGTAAATGGTGGCCACTGTGTGCTTGGTCAAGGGACTTCACAAGAGAGAGCTATTCTCAATGTTAACCTTGCAGCTGCCAGACAAGTATGTTGACCTGCATCTTGTTTTGATTACATATTGTATTCCTGGAGCATTGATCTTCTGTACCTGAGGAAGTTGGTTATCAGATGCATCTGAGTAGTTGGAAAATAAAGTTGGAGATGCTTAGAAGATCCTTTTCTGTAAATCAGAAGATGCTTAGTGTTTGATGGAAAGATACTTCGATCTTTCTGTTAGAGCTATATACAAGTAGGGCAGGGAGGAAGAGAAACACTAAAGATGTCTCTTAACTTAACATGCTATATTGCGTCTCTCTTTTCCTGTGGTAAATAAGGCACCTGATTCAAGTAGTCATTTGTAGCTTATTTGTAACTTTTTAGGTTCCAGAACGGAAGAAAAATCTGTAAATGATCTACTATGGAGAATTAATCTTGTTTAATGGAAACTACACATATCATGTGTATAATTGATGTTTTAATTCTGCTATTGTTTGGGAATATTAAAGGACATAGTATGTCCCATTTATTGCTAAACCTCTGGTTGCATTTTGGATAACCGAGAAATCCCTGAGGGCCTGTGGGGCCCTTTGAAACCTGTGGATAAAGGACACACCCCTCTATGCTTCTCCATTTAAATACCATGCTTTTGTCTGCAGCAAGGTTCTAACTCGTGACATGCGCCTAACCCACACATCACGCTCTGGGTTGTTACCGCTAGACCAAAGCCTTCGGGGCAACCTCTAGTTGCTTCTCTACTGGTGCTATCTAAGTCAGTTAATTTGATCAAAACTTTAGCAGTCAACCTGGGCTGCAGAATTACAAACTTGGGAAAAGAAAGTTAGGGGTAAGGTCTACCAGAAACAACCTCTCTACCTTCTTAAAGTAGGGGTAAGGTTTGTGTACACACTACCCTCCCCAGACCCTACATGTGGGATTAAACTGGGTTTGTTGTTGTTGTTGGAAAAGAAAGGGAAAGGAAAAGGAAAAGGAAGAAACTCATAAACAATACAAATGAGATGTTAGGTGCTCGTTTTTGCTTTGACCATAAGCAAGTATTCATCATTCTAATTCAAGAAATTTGATTGACGTCTTTTTCTCTGGAGTCAATATTTTCACTTTGGAACTGATATATCTTTGTTATAGTAATTGTTTCATGTTTGTTCCCTCGCTGCATCTGTAGCTTCTTTAAGGGTTCTCTGATTAGATTTGAACCTTATATTCGAGGCTCCAAGCTAGTTACTGAAATGTACTGCAACATAATATTACTATTGTTTTTTCCTGTTTGTTATGTTTATTCTTCACTACAGATTCCGATGTTCTATTTCATCATATGATAATCGTGGTTATAACGGATCGACTGAAAATTATTCTCAGATTGCTAGGGAAATAAGGCTGAGAGATATTGGTGGCATTATTGTGGTGGATTTCATAGATATGTTGGATGATTGTAAGTAACAGTCCTCTCTCTACCCCTCTCTACCCCCCCCCCCCCCCTCTCTGTGTGTGTTCTTTAAGTGGTATTGATGCACAATATTTATGTGATTCTATTGGGCTAGAATTATTTTTTCCTGGTGCAATAATATCATAATTACTACTGAAAATAAGAAAGAAAAGAGGGAGACGTGAAAAATTATATTATTTTCTAAGAAAATCCAAAATTGGAAATATCTTTGTTTGAATGATTGGTAACTAACAACATTACTTGTAGTGCATGACACCTATAGTTCACCATCTAAAACTGGCACATAATCAGATTGAAAGTTGTTTGATCAGCCCCAGCCTACTTTGCCTCTTCCAAAACTGTATTTGATACTAAGCTCATACCATATGATTTTTCATGATATCTTGAAGTCAACAATACATCATGCATATCTTGTCCTCTTTATTTGCTTTATTTGGTACTAATGTGCTTACAAAGCATGTATACATGCATGAGCATATGTTTACACAATTTTTTGAAAGTCTTGTTTTCTTTTATTACGTCTTCAGCAAATAAGAGATTGGTCTACGAGGAGGTCAAGAAGACTGTTGAGAGAGATCGATCAACAGTTAAGGTGTCTGAATTGTCGAGACATGGGCTTATGGAGATTACAAGGAAAAGAGTATGTTATTTGGCTCTAAACTTCTTTGTAAATCAAAGAAGTGAACTATTTGAAGTCATAACTACACTAGCTCAATTGTCTGTTTTAAAACATGGTTGGGTGACTACATCTTCTACCTGACAGGTTCGACCTAGTGTGACATTCATGATCAGTGAACCATGTGCATGCTGTCATGGGACGGGGAGAGTGGAAGCTTTAGAGACTGCATACTCTAAGATTGAACGTGAAATTTGCCGGCTGCTAGTAAGTAAACTACCTACTTAGCAATACCTTTTCAAGGTTATCTTCTTGGGTTTTCCTCTCCTTATTATCTTGTAAGCTGCAAAAAGGTCGATCCAAAATCATGTAGTTCTTTAACTAGCTTATCCATTTTTACCACTTGTCTCCATTGTTCCTTCTTTTTCTTTGTTAATTTTCTTATTGCATATAATTTAACATGATTCGACATAATAACTGGATTTTCCAAAAGCTAATTCTTGTTTTCTATGTTTCTTGTGTTGATCAGTCCACAATGGATCAGAAGGCAGACCCTGAAAACCCCAAGTCTTGGCCCAGATTTATTCTCAGGGTTGATCAGTACATGTCTAACTTTTTGACTTCAGGAAAGAGGACAAGGCTAGCAATCTTGAGTAGTTCTCTCAAAGTGTGGCTTCTTCTAAAGGTATGCTCAAACATTTTGTTCATTTTCATAACAAAATAGCACTTTTATTCTGTATTTGCTGATATCTGCAAGGTGTGATTGACCAGGTTGCTAGAGGTTTTACAAAGGGGACCTTTGAGCTAAAACCTTTGACAGGTGACAAGGAGTATAAGAATGGACATGAAACTGCTATTTCAGTGTTACGACCCACAGAGGGTGGATTTCACCCCCCTCGGAAAAAACTAACCATTTTTCCCATCAAAAAGTGGAAGAGTAGCGGAAAGTGATCTTGCTTCCTTAAGAATCATCTGTACAGGTCTCAATTCACAAAGAACATCCCGGTATGGCAGCATAATTTTATTTAACCAATTCTTTCCTCCTCGGTTCAGCTGTTTCCCTCTGAGTTTTTCTCCTCGGCGTTAAGTAGGTTGGTGTAAGAAATAGCTAGTTTTATAAAAACAATTTTGCAGAGCATGTACGCATTGGTAATACATCTATTCCATTAATTATCTGGCCTAGCCTTTTGCAACCCACAATGTATACTCATATATCTAATAATCATGTGCTTTCGCCTATGACATCATGATGCTGAAAATCATATCGTTCTCTTTAAGTTTTTCCCTTAAATCAGACTCTTCATTTGTCTTTTAAGTATACACATTCTCCTCGGATTTTTCCAGCCAATCATAACCAACTAGTGATTCAAGGGGTCAATTCTTTTTTTTGTTTGATTGACAAAACTTTTAATAGAAGTGTTTGAAACAAAGAGAAGAAGATGTGTCCTTCACGACTGGAGGGACGCACAAACAATTAAGAAAATTACAGAGAAGGGTAAAGTGGACTTCACAGGATCAAGGAAAGACCTGCAGAAAAGAGAGTAAAGATGAATGCTCGAAGTTGGTGTTGCTTATATTGCTGGAAATTTGGACCTTGCTTCCTACTCTAATTGATTAAGCACCAGGGAAACTACAATATGTGCAAGACCAACTGATCGCTCCTTGCCCACGCAGATTTTGTCTAAAAATGATAATACGCGTGAATGAATGTCTATCAGCTCTTCTCATTGCCCCTTCAAATAACATAATAGTTAGGTTTATCCACTCATTTATCACAATAATTGCAACTCTAGTTCAAGAAACATTACGTGGTGATAAAGCTTTCTTTGTGAATCTGGAGTCAGCACAACATAGGCAAGAATCAAGATTTTATCGCTGCGTGGTTCTTCTCCTCACAAATTTGTCTAGTTATTTGGTATATACCCTTAAGCTAGTCCTGTATCCACAGGCCTTGAACATCATTTAATCAGCCTGAGGAATCTAAGATCTAGATTTCTGAGGTCAGAGAAACTACAATACTGGGGGTAGAAAGACAAAATTCTTTGATAGCTGGTTTGGCAAACCAAAAAGTTGAAGGAAATTTTGTGGCCCATATATTTTTTGAACCCAGTATTTTTACGAGAAATTTTTAGAAACCACTATGTTTTAGTGGTTATTAGCTAGTTGTAGCTACCATTTACTATATTACTTCCTATAGCTATGTTTTCAGATTTTTTAGAGTGTATTCAATGTATTTAAGCTATTGTATTCATGAATACAGTAGCATTTCTAGGCGTGAAATAGGGGATTACAGCAGGTTTTTGTATTCGACTGTATTCATGGCGTGAAACATGGGATTACAGTTGGACAGATGAAAGTGAATCAATTAACATAATAAACTCCTGATATAACTCAACAAACTCAATTATAATACACAAATTTTGTATTTCTAGTTATAAAAAAGATTCTCAACCGAAAAACATCCCAAAAACATAGCAATCTTCAGAGAAATTATATTATACATCTGAATACATAAATTATATTAATTAAAAAAAACATAAGAATATTGGAATATAGCAAGACAGTGAATACAATGAAATACATAGAATACAGCGGGATACATTGAAATATAATGAAAAAAAGGACAATGAATACAATGAAATACATAGAATACAGCGAGATACGTTGAAATACAATGGAAAAAAAAGACAATGAATACAATGAAATACAGCGAGATACATTGAAATATATTAACAGAAAATTCAAGTTGCTCAGGCCCCAACTCCGTCGTCTTTGTTCAAGAACAACCCTAATGTCGTCTCGTTGAAGCAGCATCAGTATCCAGTCCTCGCTTGCCGTCACCGTTGCCTCTGGTTGCTGACGATTAGCATGTAATTACTGACGAAATACGTGTTAGGAACTTTCCTGTTCGTGTTAGGAACTCCAGCGATATCAGCAATTTTCCTGTTTGTGTTAGGAACGCCGCCAACATACATGACCCACCGGTTGGCGCTAAGCTTTCCTCTATTCCAATGGTGTCCTGTGTTTAGCACAAGGACATCAAATCTGGGTAGGAGACGGCTCAAAAATGCTGGCGGACGATCCAGGTGCATGGCGTAATCAGTAGCAGGGTTAGAAGCATTAATGGGTATCAATGAATAACGGCCACGGTCAAAACGGTAACGGTGGCAATTGCTCTAGCGTCCGAAGGAGGAGAAGACATTGGGAAGTAGAGAGAGAGAGGGGAAGAATAGATATGGGGTAGGGGATAGGAGAAATTTGAGGGATATGAGAGAAAAATAAATACAAATCTTATCTCATGGCTTAATGGTAGTAGGTGACCATAAATGGATATTTAGCTATAAAAAATAAAAGGTAGCTATGGAATATAATTTTTTAAAAGGGTATTTATTTAAAATAAATAAGGTATCAACCTTTGATGTAGGAGTTAACTAATCCTATTTTTACCTCGCCTTATTAAGAAGAACTTCAAGTCTATCAAAAAAGGGACCATCAAAAAGTCTGTCAGAAAAGGAAAGGATGTGTAATTCTAATCTCTTAGACTATTTCTTTACATAATATCATTAATTAGAGATGAATATTTCGATCAGGAAGTGAAAATTCCCGCCTATAAATTATCTGAAAACTATCAGCACAATATCTTAACCACTCTCCAATGTTAGTAAATGCCACAAGTACCTCAAGCAGATCCCTGTAAAAATCACTTAATACCCTCATGATATTGTTACTAGCAGCATGCATCTCCAACTCTCAGTTTCCAAAGTGTAGGGACATGTAATGCCAACCACACAAAGGATGAAAATACCGTGCACTCTACACTTAACCGAAAATGAAGCAACAACATTCCATCATTTGAAAGTAAACATGAAATAAGCAAATCCAATGTCGCCCAAAAATAGGCAAATATTCTGAAATCACGTAGAAATGCCTCCTGAATTGGATATCTCAATAATGTAATGAAGTTGATAGTACAAACAAATGGTTATCGTAAATCCTTTCACAAGTGTACAATCTAGGGGAAAACTAAAATAATAGGATACAACAGAAGTGATTAACAACAACACCGACAGGATAAAACATCTGAGCATGTATAGGGCCTTAGCTTCTCTTCAAGTTCTTGTGCTGTGGGAAGCGGTTCCATCCTATATTTGCTACTTTGGGCAAAACAAAACTCATACAAATTTCTGCATGCTCCTTTACTAAATGGATAGACTCTTTCGGGAATGTTCCTGCAAATCAATGCAAGTTTAAACTAAGGCTTAAAGACAACAAATTGCCGATAAGAATACATGCCTCCATTTGCTGTTGTTATATCAATTAAATCACTCAAAGATGTTGACCATATCTGCAACTGACATCATCCAATGTTTTTAATTGTATCATTCAGAGTACTAGCCCAAAGGAAAAACAGAGATATACCTACCTCTACCCAGTAAGTAAAATCATGCAAGAAATTTGAAGTAAATAACCAACCTCAGGTATTGGATGCGTCGTCGTCTCACAAGCTCATAAGTTGTCTGATTTGTTAAAATTAGGTAGCTGATCAAGAAACATAGGTCAGTCACTTTGGCTAAAGGAGAAAAACAAATATCTAGGGGAATAATATAGGCAAAAATATGTTGGCTGACCAAACTTAACATGTCAATTAAGTGGACTTGAAAATGTAGCAGATTTCATATTCAATTTACCAAATGGCTGCTGAAGCTTATGTCCTATTGCACATGACCAGATAGAATTCAGAAGATCTTAGTATCTCCCATCTTATTAGCGCTAGCAACCTAATCTGGCTTAACCAAGCCAGAATTTTACTCGCAAATTCTAAAGTTTGAGTAGCTTAGTGTTAATATGTTTCTACCTCCCTCACAAGACTAAAAGGAGGTAACCAGGCATCCTATTCTATCTTTTCCTTACACGAGATATATATTATCTTACAGAAATCATTACATCCTTTCCTAGAATTAACAATCCTGCCGGCCAAACAGAGGGTTCTCCAGAATGTCATATAACCCTTTTTCTTTTTAAAAAAAAACGGGGACTCGCACACATAATTTAAGAACTTAAACATTAAAATCTAACAAACTTCCAAAAGATATGCAATTATATGCCAGACAATGCTAAACAAAGAGTCCATCTTCAAGTAAAGAGAAATCTTACCTGTGAAAAAGTAAGAGGAGGAGAAGAAAGATGAGGCAGAAAAACAGAGTAACTAGCAGCAAGATCATAATTGCATATAACCACCTGCAATGAAGCCATTATAGCATTTGACTTCAGACTCAATTAAAGATGAAAACTGGATAAGTTTCATGACAAGGCTAGTCTTTTTATGGTGGGTTGTGTGCACTCACCAAACACATGTGAACAGAGGCAAAAACAATAAACGTGTCCGCACCATCTTGTCACATCAGCTTTAACTAGGGGTGGCAAACGTGCGGGTCGGGTCGGATATGAGCGGGTTGAACACGGTTAATTACAAAAATGCATAAAATATCCGATCTGCCCATATTTAATACAGATAGAAAACGAGTTAACCGGCGGATAATATGGAATATGGATATCCATATTATCTACGGCTTCTTGAATATGATCACTTTTGGGAGAATCCCTAGTCTCCAAACTTGAGGAATCCCCAATTTGAGTCTTTGCAAATGTAAAAGTTAAACCTTTTGGTTATCCATTTTTTAAGTGGATAATATGGATCTTATCCATATTTGACCCATTTTTAAAAAATTCATTATCCAACACATTTTTTAATGGATAATATAGGTGGATAACTGATTTTGTTATCCATTTTGCCACCACTAGCTTAAGCTTTCATGAGAATCGAGGCCCCTTCTTTAACTACTGATTCCCATTGTTCTTTTGTGTCTTGAAAATTGGTTTTTGCAACCTCATACAACCAAAATAGTGCCATCTTCAAGCTTCTTACTTCTCAGAAGAGGATAAGATATTTCAAACAAGTAAAATATTCCAATATGTGCATGTTTACATTTCACCAACTGAGGCTTTTGGATAATGAATCTTCTGAGTTGACATGCTTTTCTTATAAATTTGGGTAGCAAAACTAACAAGTTCACAGGGTTTCCCTAGCTTTTTTTTTTTTTTGATTGGCACAATGGTGCATATTATCCTTCTCCGGTTCTCCTGATGCTACCCTAGAACCTCCATCTTTATTTACTTCTGGGAAGGAAGATACTACTAAAGCAGCAGAGGAGAAACATGTTTAACGGCAAAAACCAGAGGCTGAGCAGAAAAGCTCTTAAAAGATAAAGCATCATGAGAAGTACATACCAAGGCTTTGATATGTCAGACTTCAAGAATTTAATATATAACGTGCCAGTCCAAAGGGATAAGGCTGTTTCTCCGCAAATGTACCACCTGTTATATTCAGGCAAGTAAATAAACTATAGCCAAGACGATTTGCTTAAAACTCTCAAATTAAAGAAAGAACATGCAGTGCACATGTTTCCTCACATGTAATATAAGCAGCTATTACCAGTTGAAAGTTCAGGAAAATCAAGCATCCTCACATGCTCCGTGTGTGTTTATAGATGAAGAAACATACATATAATTACGAGAAAGTACAATATTACAAGTCCCAACTAAATAGTGTCTCTCATTGTGGTCTTAAGAGTTAAGAGTAGAGCCATGATCATGTCACTTACACAGAACATATAATAAAGAATTAGACACATCTAAGTACATATATCTTCCAAGCCCACGAAACCAGTTCAACACATTCTTGCAACAATCTTTAAATGAATCAACATCCTCTTATAGGTGTCTTGAACTGATGAACTCTTCTGACAGGGATATGTTCCCACGATTCAAGCAAAAATTGCAGCATCTCCGTGAAAGCAAGAAACCTCGAATGAGACTTTAAATACATTAATTTCGCAAGATAACTATATTAGTAACATTTTCTGGAAACGACATCACCGTTGACATAAATAACTATATTAGTATCATTTCTGGAAATGACATCAACATCGACATAAATCTTCAATTTGACATGTCGTAATCATGTTATATCCAAAAAACAAACTTCCATTTTTGCTGCAAAATAACATATGGAACCATCACAGAAACAAATCTGTACTTTCAATTTAAACAGTACAAGTTTATGTTTTTTTAAAGCTTTTTCGCAGGTACAAGCAAACAATTTCAATTAAATTGCAAGATTAGTTAGTTTATTGAACTGCGAGCAAGATACAAACACTGTTGTGTATCAATCTAGTAGCATGGATGCTCACCAAAAACGGCAATGATTACCCTGTCCTATGCATGTGCCAAGCCAAACACAATGATGATCAAACTGTAGAACACATTTGTCACAATCATGACAATGTTTAGCTCGTGGAGGCTGCAAATCAAGCAGCATAAAAATCAGAATCTGTTGACATAACTGTACAAATGTAGACTAGTGGGATTATAAGTTCTAGGCACTTAACAAGACAAATAGTCCCTAAGTCCCATTACAGAAATTGGTCTCCTAATATCAATAACTTTAAACAAAATTACTAGGGCAGCCATAAACTATATTGGATAAGTAGGACTGCTAATATTAGGATAAGTACGACAGCTGACTTATAATTTATAAATCAAAAGGCCATAAACGTTTGAAACAATTGAAAAATATATCTGCTTCAGCCTCATCCCAAGGAAATGGGTTAACAGAGGAAATTAGATATTGCAAAAGCTAAGGCAAAACATAGTTTGGTTAATCTCATAGAGAAATAACATATCAAGGATGCAAAGATCATAACCTGGGAAATAAGGAGCTTCAAAGAGAGTAAATAGTATAATAGAAATATCTTGGAAATATAAGATGAATATTTCCAACAGAAATATATATTATCACCATATTAATGTCACAAGTTTGCCTCATTTCCTTCCAAACCTAGGTAGTCACTATTTGGCTTCGAAATCATGTCACTAATTTGGCTAATCCAAAATACCCTTTTATCATTAGGTATTATCAGACGTACCAAAAAGCTTGCTTTGCATAAAAATAAAGACAAAGAAAGGGGGAGTTCCTACCTGCACAACATCACAGTAAGTGCAAGTCACACTTCTGGAAAAGAGAACAAAAATTAGTTAGTACAAAAAACTGATGCTTTAGCTAATTGAATCTTGCAATCTATAACTGCACAACCAACATACATTCATACTTCTGTCCAAAAGTGGTGCAAAAGGGAAGAAAGAAAATACTAGTTTAAAATTCATGGTAACTTTTTTCTCTTTTTATAACTGAGAACTCCCCAAGGACCAATGGTGCAAGACTCGAAACTAGGTGAATAATGAGTCTGCCCCTCTACTTTTCTCCACTTAACTACCAGGGAACCTGCGGCAGGGTTCAAATCCATGTCATGCACTTAACCCACACATCACGCGTTGCGCTCTTACCACTAGACCAAAGACGGGGGCTAAAGTCACAAGGTAAAATATTTCCCTACTAAAACTGAATTCTATTAGAATTCAAGTTTGTCATAAACCCAAAGAAGATCTAAACTCGTTTTCAAGGACAACCAAGACAAATTTAAAGAAGAGAAGCTTCTGCCATCATCTTCAGACTTCCACAAGCTAAGCACTCAGTATCTACAATGCATCTCTAACTACTTCCAGAAGTGATAAATAAGCAAGGATGGGTTATTTGACATAAACTTATATGCAGAACTGATGACAGATATTTACACTGGCTTCCTAATAAAGGTCATCTAGCTTCACATCAATCCAGTTTATACTAGTATTTTGAGAGGGAAGCCAAACTTAACACAGCAGGCACTTTTATCACATGTCTATTAGTTATGCCTTTAAATGACCCAATAATAACACATCTCAGCAGAAATCTTCATGGTATTTTAAAATGTTGTCCTTTGTTATTGAATGAAAGATTAGGCATTTCTCAACATTCTTAGGAAATTATACAGGGTAGTTGCAGCTTCTCCTTCATATAAAAGCTACTGCACACAGATAATGTGTTATAACGACTTTGCCATCACCATAAGTTGCCCCCTATATCCTCCCAGTCCAACAAGTGTCATGAAATATAATCCGAAAGAGCGAATTTTGAATAAAACCTTGAAATCCTTGGTTAAAAAACAATGTTAGTTGAATCGAACCACAATGTAAGATGAACCAAATAGCGCTACGGTAGAGGCTGCAATACAGTAAACAATGCAGCTGCTTTAGAGATTTTTTAGCAGCTGCTTTAGGGATAACAAGAAAAGCATAAACATGGTATTATTCAAGTTGTCCTTACCTAAGAGATGTTCCACTAGGATACATATCCATCACCAGCTTTGTCCAAGCCATTGTACCACGGCCTAGGAGATTCCTTCCTAACTGGTTCCCGTCGATTGTAACAACTACATCGCCGTTTTTGCTTGAAGCAGGTTGTCTTTGCTTGATCATTTTACATCACAATAGGCAGAAAATAGTAGCAATTAGATAATCCTGCAGAGCTCTCCACATATTTACACTGGGATATTTCAAAGATATGCCAGGAGAACCCATGTAACAAACCAGAAAGGAAATTCTCTTACTTTGAGGTCATTGATGCCCTATTACGCGATATATCGGCCTCATTGACAACTCTCATTGCATCAAGAACGTAGCTACATGTTCAACAGAAATTTTAACTGAGCATACAAATGAAACTTTACCGGCCCTTCAGTGAAGTAGCAGTGAAGCTAGTAAAGACTAGTAAATGGATTGTAAATTGCCAAGTAGAAGTGTGCATGAAATTACCCTGGAGAAGAACCTGAGGTGACGAAATATTGAGCCAGTGTAGCAGCAAACAGCAGCAAATATATAATTGTATACCTTGAAAGCAAGGAAGAGGGTCTCAGCGGTTTTACCAAAAACACCTAAATAAAAGTGAAATCTCTAAAAATGGTAAAGACGAGGCCATTTTATTCAACTCCATCCTTTTCCTTTTGAATCAGAAACTTATTCAAATAGGAATATATCAATTTTTTGTTTTTCTTTTTTGGTCGGATTATCCAAATATAGAAAAGGGTCATTCTTTTTAAATTAGACTAAAAAAGTAAGTAGCAGGCAAAAAGATTTCTATTTCTTATAATCAATGGACTGTATCATGGTTCTTGCTAAAAGAAAAGAACATGACACTCAATTCCTTCACAAGTTAGCTGCTAATGAATTAGGTGAATCAAACAATGAAGTAAAGTGAGAGCAAATTATTAGGTGAACAAAGACCAACTTCTTGCATTGTAATACTGGTAGTTGCTCTCACATCAATTCATGCCTTCATAAGTTAGCTGCTAATTCCAAAAAAGAAAGACTCGTTTTTTGTACTGTATTATTGGAATTTGCTCTCAATCAATCAATTCCTTCATAAGTCAGCTGCTAGTTCCAAAAAAAAAAAAAAAAATCCTTTTTGCACTGTATTGTTGGTACTTACTCTCATATCAATCAACCTTCATAAGTTAGCTGCTAATTCTGAAAAAAGACTCATACTTTGTCCTCAAGAAGCAAAGAGAGTGAGAGCAATTACCATGGCTCCTGTTTAGTTTTGTGAATCAAATCTTTGTCAAAGATAAATAGAACCCCCACGTAGATCAAGTGCAGCATCACCAACGTTATTCTCAAGCAAAACGTCGATCTCCGAGCTACAATTAAACAACCAAAAAAATAATAATTCAGGTTTAAAAACTCCTAAATGTAAATAAATGAATTAAACAGTAAAAACGAAAAGAATAGTTACCGGGATCGGAAAGGCATGGGAAGAAGCGGAGACAACGGTCGGAGAAACGATCCAATGTGTCGCGTGAGAGGCCGCCGCCGCCGCTACATAATGCTCCCATTTCTCCTTTTTTTAAATAAATCATTCACTTGATAACACTTTTTTCTTCAATACACATTCCTTACAGTTCTCTGTTATACAGTTATGCGGCGGCCTGAATTATAAGCTGCTGCTTAGTGTTTTCAGTTTAGTCAGGACTTACCGGAGAGTTGAAAAACAACAAATCTAGTCTAGAGCGAGATATATATATATATATATATATATATATAGAGAGAGAGAGAAAGAGCTTGGCTTCGGTCCAGAACTTGTCTGACGTTTGGAGCAATGCCTATTGAAATGACGAATTAACCCCTTTGTTTCTTAAATGCACCATTTGGCCTACTCAAAGAAACATTATTGTTATTTGATTGAGAAAATAACTATGATGTGTTACTAAAAAGGTTCCCTATAAGAATATTTTAATAGATAATATATTTGTCAGTTTTTTCAATTTTTACGAATAAGATATTTGTTTATCAAAATTTTGTTTATAACTTTAACAAAGTAAGATTGAAATATTATTAATGTAACAAAAAAATCTGAAAAACCCGACAAAATCGAACCAATCCAAACCGATATAGTTGGTTTGGTTTGATTTTTGAACCGAACCAACACGGTCCATGTACACTCCTAATTTAAACCATAGTTAGGGCCTTGCTTTAGTCAATTAAATTTTAGCCATTAATTTTAACCTATTTCATGTGTCCCTAATCTAAGCTAGAACTTGAGCAAACGGAGAGAAGAGAAATGGAGAGGAGAGGAATGGAGAGGAGTCAGATCCTCAGGGAAGTTACATTTTCATGTATCGTAATTTAATTGAGTACAAGTTTAAGTTTAAGAAAATAAAGATTTTTTTTTGAATTTTATAAGTTTAATTTAAATATACAATAACAACAACAACAACAACAATGACCCAGTGAAATTCCACAAGTGGAATATGGGAAGGGTAGTGTGTACGCAGACCTTACCCCTACCCCGAGGGAGTAGAGAGGTTGTTTTCGGTAGATCATCGACTTAAGAAGACAAAAGAGACAATACATCACTACCATCAATAAAAACTATAGAAAGAAATAACAGCATCACAAGAACATAGATGAAAATCAAAACAATAACCACTAGATAAATCCTGGCACTAAGAGGAACGAAAGAGTAACGTGAACTCAACATTAACCACTACCAATCTAAGACAGAATCCTAACATATTAGCCTCACTCTGGAGCGCCATAGAAATATGCACAACTACCTCATAACCTACGACCTTAATGCTTGACCTCCACAACTTCCTATATAGGACCATGTCCTCGATAAAAGCCTTGCCATGTCCTGCTTGATCACCTCCCCCCAATAATTCTTAGACCGCCCTCTATCTCTACCATACGCACCTGTCACGATCCGGATTTCCCACCATCGGGAGTCGTGATGGCGCCTACTAACGGAGCTAGGCAAGCCAACTTTAATTAACATATTCATTAAACACATGTTCCTTTTTTGACAATCAACGGCATTAAATAAAGGCGACGAAATTAATTCATAAGCGGAAGACTTAAATGTAGATGGATAATCAATCATACAGAAGTTCTACACATATATCTCTACCCCGGGACTGGAGTCACATACTCACGAACATCTAAGGAATTCTACATACAAGGTCTGAAAGAAACATAATTTGTTTATCTCGGGTACAATGAGATGACAGCCAAAACGTAAAGATAGAAGGGAGACGCCGGGCCTGCGGACGCCTGCAAGCTACCTCGGGTCTCTCTCTGGACTGAAGGTACGCCCCCGTGCTAATGCTGCTGCTGCTCAAAACCTGGACCTGTGCAAAAATGCATAGAGTGTAGCATCAGCACAACCGACCCCATGTGCTGGTAAGTGTCTAGCCTAACCTCGACGAAGTAGTGACGAGGCTAGACTGGACACCATATAAACCTGTGCAGTTATAAATATACACGGAAGCAAAATACCAAGCAACAACAAAAAAGATATGGGAGGGGGAACATGCTGTGGGGAGATAACAACAGTAACAGTAAATCCGAGGTATTCAATCTAGGTGCAACTAACAGTTTAAAGCGATCAAGTAACTAATACCGACACTAAACACGTTTGCATCAATAACTGTTGCGGCGTGCAACCCGATCCACAATTACCACTATTGCGGAGTGCAACCCGATCCACATATAACATTGTTGCGGCGTGCAACCCGGTCCACATATAACATTGTTGCGGCGTGCAACCCGATCCACATATAACATTGTTGCGGCATGCAACCCGATCCACATATAATATTGTTGCGGCGTGCAACCCGATCCGTAATGTACACCTCTCAACCTTGCCCAAGCAACAGTCATAAATAAAGGGCTAGGGAGTAAACAAGTATTTGGAGAGAAATCCCAACAAGGATACACAAACAACCAATAACAACTATGCAAGAGTAAATCGTTATTTCTCTTTTTCTTTCATTTTCATATCCTAGTTCTCATTAACACTCGTGTCAAGCTCTAATGCAACTCTCATTTCATATGCTCTCACCATCTGTATTTCAGACCCAGCCAATACTCCACGAAGTTCTACAATCACAATGTCTTTCACAAGGTTTCCACCACGTATAGAGGCCATTAATAGCATGGAAAGCATAACAATATCCAAACAACTCGCATATAAGGACTCACGGTCATGCTAGACCCCAATGTATAGGAACTCGTCACCATGCCTATACACCGTACTCGATCATTTAGCAATTAGCAAACAAGACTCGACTCCTATTCCCTCAAGCTAGGGTTAAACCAAACACTTACCTCAACTTCCACGGCTAATACAATCCTCCACAACCACTTTCCCTCTCGATTTCGGCTCCAACTCGACCAAATCTATGCAATAAGGACTCCATGTTATCAATATATGCTAAACAAAACAAACCCAATAACTAATTATAGCTTTTTCCTCAATTTACCCCAAAAGGTCAAAAATGCCCCCTGGCCCACATGGTCGAAACCCGAGGTTCGGACCAAAACCCGATTACCCATTCCCCCATGAACTTAGATATATAAGTTATTTTGGAATCGGACCCTGAATTGAGGTCCAAAACCCCCAATTTTAGAAAACCTAGGTTCTACCCTACATTCCCAATTTTCCCCATTAAAAACCTTTGTTTGAAGTTGAAATAATATTTAAAGATGTTAAGGAGTAAAGAAAATCAGTTAGAAAATACTTACCAAACGTTTTGAAGAAGAAGGATCGTTTGAAAAATTGCCTCTTATGTTTTGGGTTTTGAAAAAGTGTAAAAATGGCTGAAAATCCCGACTTATATACTTTGCTGAAGGACTGGCGCGGACCGCACAAAGATGCATCACGGCCACACCGAGGAAGGGAAGAAAATGGCTCTCTGAACCTACCCAGCGCGGACCGCACGATTGTGGTGCGCGGCCGCGCTGGTGTCTTGCACCTGGAGCCTTCTCTGAATCTCCCAGCGCGGACCGCACGAACTTGGTGCGCGGCCGCACTGGTCGAACCAAGGCTGGGGACCCCTATGAATCTGGCCATGCGGACCGCGCGGACTGCACCGCGGCCGCGTGGCTTCCAGCGCGGACCGCGCGGAAATAACCGCGGCCGCGCTGGGGCCTGCAACACTGCAACATCTGATACTTTAAGCCTAAGGCCTCCCGGGACCTACTCAAAACTCACCCGAGCCCTCGGGGCTCCAAACCAAGCACACACACACTAACTCAATAACATCTTACGAACTTACTCGAGCGATCAAATCGCCAAAATAACCTCAAAATCATTGGATCAAGCCTCAAAATCATCATTTTTCTTTCAAACTTCATAAACTTCAAACTTTAGATATTCAGGTCCGAAACACGTCAAACGACGTCCGATTTCGACCAAACTTTACAGAAAGCGCTTAACACATATTTAAGACTTGTACCGGGCGTCGGAACCAAAATACGAGCCCGATACCACAGTCTTTTAATCAATTTTCATTTCCATTTTCCTTAATAATTTCAGAAAAACAATTTCATAGAAGAATTCATTTCTCGGGCTCTAGACCTCGGAATTCGACTCTGGGCACATGCCCGAGTCCCATATTTTTCCACTGACCTTCCGGGACCGTCCAAATCTCGAGTCCGGGTCTGTTTACCAAAAATGTTGACCGAAGTCAACCTTAAACATATTAATATCAAAATTCTTCAAATTTTTCACAAAATTCACATATTTCCACATAAAAACTTTCCGGCTACGCGCCCGGACTGCGCACGCAAATCGAGGCAAGTAAAAATGAGGTTTTCAAGGTCTCGGAAGCACAAAATGAATGAGGAAACAGGTGATGACCCTTTGGGTCGTCACATCCTCCACCTCTAAGACAACCGTTCGTCCTCGAACGGACAAAAGAAAGAAGTACCTGAGTCAGGAAATAGATGTGGGTAACGGCTCCGCATGTCAGACTCGGACTCCCAGGTCGAGGCCTCAGGGGGCTGACCTCTCCACTAAACACGAACAGAAGGAAAACTCTTCGACCTTAGCTGTCGAACCTGCCGGCCTAGAATAGCTACCGGCTTCTCCTCATATGACAGATCCTTGTCCAACTGGACCGTGCTGAAGTCTAATACATGGGTAGGATCGTCGTGATACCTCTGAAGCATAGACACATGAAAAACTGGATACACGGCTGATAAGCTAGGTGGCAATGCAAGCTCATAAGCCACCTCTCCTACTCGATCAAGAATCTCAAACAGACCAATGTACCTAGGGCTAAGCTTGCCCTTCTTTCCGAATCTCATCACGCCCTTCATAGGCGACACCCGGAGCAATACTCGCTCTCCGATCATGAAAGCTACATCTCNCCCCCCCCGTATAACTGACCCAAGGTACTTTAAACTATCCCTCCTAGGGATGTTGATCCAAGCCTCACGTCCAATCCCGCTTCCTTCGGCTCGATGTTGAACTTGCACTCTAGGTATTCCATCTTAGTCCTGCTCAACTTGAAACCCATAGACTCAAGGGCAAGTCTCCAAGCCTCCAGCCTCTCGTTGACGCTGCCTTGCGTCACATTAATCAGAACTATGTCGTCAACAAATAACATCCACCATGGTACCTCCCCTTTAATATGGTGTATCGGTGCATCCATCACCAGGGCAAATAATTGAGCGCAGATACTTGGTATAACCCCATAACAACCGAAAAATACTCTGAGTCACCTCCCACTGT